AAGTCTCTCAGATAGATGATACTTAATGGCCTGTCTTGAGACATGATTTTTAATCCTCCGAGGGAGAGACCAGAAAATACTCAAATAAAAAAAACCAAAGTTGATTTATAGGTTATACCTCTCTTCATAACCCTGGTAGGGGAGGAAATACGTTTTTTGGATTGTAAAGAATTTAAATGAGCATAACTTTATGATGGATTCTAAACTACTCATGAAGGAGTGAGATGAAAATGTATTTAGCTAGCCAATGCATTCTTATTCTCACCTGGACTGGAAGATCAAAGGAAGCAGCTTTAGTTATTCTAATTCATGGCTATAACATCTGCAAAAAGCTAGAGTGAAATGACAGACAATAAATTAAAATAATTGAAAGAATAATTAAATTTTAATTCCTGCCTAGAAGGTCAAGTGAGTAGCTTCAGTTTTAAGTCAAACATGTTAAAAATGAATCATCTAACTTGAGTTATTAAAAAATAAGTTAAGCAAATAAGGAAGAGAAACTACCTTGTAAATAGTTTAAAAGATAATTCAAAGCCAATGGTAACCGGCTCTCCTTTTTTTACAAATATGCTAAAATCTGTTTTTACAAAAGGCTGGAATAAAGCATTTCAGCATTTCTAAAATAAGCCATTAGATGGATGTTCACCTTTGAACAGCCCAACCAGCAATCCTACCAACAGCTTCTCCTCTTCATTACCCACATGACTCTTCTTGGCTTTCAATAGCATATGGAAAAAATACAGAGAAAACAACATGGAAGAGAGTAAAAATGAGATAGATGAAGAAGGTGAAGCACCTCTTCACACCTGTGGTGTGGTTTGGTCTCTACCAAGCAGCAGGCACGTGCCTAATCCAGAGCCACTCATAAATAGCTCATCTGCCCTCCTGGAGCTCAGGTACCAAAACCTTCTGTCCATTTCAAAAGGGAGAGATTAAATCACACATCCCTCTCTTCTGGGTTGGCAGTGACCCATGAGCACTGCAAATTCACAGAGAGAAAGTTATACCCACTGCTCCTCAGCTGTGGAGCAATACTCATCCTACTTACTCGAGTTCTGCCAACTTTAGCCAAAACCTTCATCCAGCTACAATTTTTAGGTAAAATAGCACCGATGAACATATTCATAAAGCAAATTAAAGCTCATCTTATTCTTCTAGGTTGAGAACAATTTGCATTCAGTCTTAGCTTTGGAAAGTAAAAATAATGATGTAGATAATTTCTTTCTTTTCATTAAGGACAGTGGATATTTTTATTCTGTTGGACATTTCTGCAGTATTTAGAAACACTATTTCAGGATGACCTAGAGTTATCTGACACAGAGAAAAAATCCATGCATAATGTATCAGAATGTTTTTTCAGGAACATACAAAAGAAACAGTGACAGGCAGCTGTACCTCCAGTGCTTTACTGCATGGGGTATAAATCGAGATCCTGTGGAGAGGGGAAGAACTGGTGACATTGTGTGAGCCTAGTCAGATAAAAAGCATTAAAGTAAACATCTGCTGGGTATTATACAGCTCTGCTAATGCACCTCTGTGTAAAATCATCCCACTGTTACCAGGACCTGTTTCTTTATATGATGAGTTCATAAATGAAAGGCAGGTTGCAGAGGCTGGACACAAGGACAAAGGCTATAGCTCAAGGGAAACTTTAAAGAAGCCACAGTCTTTCTTGTTTGAAAATACATGCCACTTGTAGTCATGGTTTTTGCAGCTCTAAAAACTCTGTAAGGGTCACACTAATACCAAATGCTGGTATGGTTACAAAGCACCATGCTATCCTAACAAACATATCTGGCTTTATTCATCATTTCAGTATCACTTTTCAATGATAAACTTGCCTATGAGTTCATTAGGAAATTGCATGAACAGGAATATACAAACCTGACCTAATTATCT